TATTACGGAAAATACAGCGCACATTACTTTCAACAGAACTCAATTTTTGAGTCAATTCCACTCCGACTATCATCCACAAGAGCCTCGTTTAACATTTCAGTGCAAAAATGATCATTGGGTTGCAGCCATAGAGCCTGAACGTAAATGTAAAAAGAATAGTATGACCAAATTTAGAGCAATACAGAAATGGTAAAATGAATGGTATACTAAATGCTTAGTTCTTGGTTGAAGCAATCTTTGAACAATAAGGTCCATCAAAAAATTACTTACCTTATGATAGTATGTAATTGCAGCACTAAAATTATCCTGCATAAGATCGAAAAGAGAAGTTAAGGTCTTAGCTTCACACTTCCCATTGTATTTGATAACAAAGTAAATGTGAAAGCTTGAAATAAAATACTGTGAAGTTAATTTCTTCAAATTAACTTTCAATACATAGGTTGCTTGATAAACATTTGGTTTGTGTTATGTTGGATATAATAACTAACATCCTACACCAACAAAATAGATCAGTCGGAGGACCTTCGGGCAGGGTAGGCCTGCTTCTTCTCCGGTCATATCTCTTTTCCTTCCATGGTTCTCAGTGCCTATCGATCCTCTGTATATTGCTGTGAATCAATTTCTTACCTTTCCATTCCTAGAGGTTGTGTTTGGCAGCTGAAAAATTGACAGAAAATGGTTCACTGGTAAAGGAATAGGGAACCGAGTGCAAAATCTTAATTGATTAGGCCGTTAGGGTGGTTGTCAAAAATCCCCTCAATCATTCTTTTCCTTTCCAACTATACGTCAAAATTTCATGCTTCATATAATATCGTCCTTGCTTCCTCCCTCTTCTGCTTCCTTAGGAATGATACAATTGCAAATTATTTTGCCTGTTATTTTATCATTGTTGTTCTTTTGATGCTAAAAATATAGGTTTAGCTCTTTGTATCGCAAATCATCATTTTGCCTGTTATTTTATCATTGTTGTTCTTTTGATGCTAAATATATAGGTTTAGCTCTTTCTTTTTGGTAAAAACTCTCAGCTAAAAACAACTTATTATTCATCTCAATGCTATCATATTATTGGCATGGCCAAGAAAAAAAAAACACTAAAAAGGAAACTGAAATCCTTATATTTGATTTAATTTATGTAATTGAAACAACTAAAAAGATTTTTTTTTATTTTTTATGTAGTAGTATTCCTACAATAGATGAATGTGATAAACTATGCATTTTCATGGAGTTAGTGTCTATTTTTAAATACTTTATCTGTTTATCATATTTATCATAATTAATGTTGCAAAAAATGTTAAGCGATGTCTAACATTAAGTCAATATTTAAGTACCACTTAAGCACTATAAATGTTTTTATTATATAACTTCTAACATAATCAATAAAATATTTAGCATTCACATTCAATGGGACCGAATGTCCCTACCCAAGTATGAAACAAATTAACAAGACATAATTAGTTAAAATTATGAGATTTTGGATAAAATTGCAAGACAAAATAGGTTCACGTCCTTTTTTTTTACGACCCCAAAAGATTTGGGGCATACTTACAATTACGGATTCAAAGTCCAAAGTAGCGTTGGGCTACTCAATTTCTTGGTCTGAGCCTGAACCTTAAAGACCATTCTTCTCCGTTAAATATTGGAGAACCCCAAAACATCAGAGAGAGAAGGAGAAGGAAGTCGGAGGAGAATGGAGAGATGTGGAAGATCAAAGATGAACATTGCTATCATACACCCAGATCTTGGTATAGGTAATTATATACCAATCTGATATATTTTCGATTTCATTAAATTAGTGAACGAAATTTACTTTCTTTTGTTTTGGGGGAGGGGATTTACGAAATTGGTGGTGATACAACTAGCTTGGTTGGTTGGCGAGAAAGTTTGATAGGGTGAACAAGAAAATATGGGTAAAAGGAAAAAAATGTAATTTGAGAGAACAAATCCAGAAAGAAGTAAAAGATTTTGCTGAAAGTGAATAGCTATTGCATTCATGAAGAAACACAAATCTAATTGAGCCTGATGATGAAATAGTGTTTTTTTTTTTTTTTTTTAATGTAGTGTGGAAGCTAAGGCTGTTTAGGCTTTAATTGCTGGTTTTAGGTAGTGATTTTCTGTTAATTGACACTAGTGATGGGCAATATTGTGATTGATGATAGACTTGAGGATAAGAATCGCCCTTTGAATATTATGCTAGCAATGCAAGTTTTGGATTTCCTTATGACTTTATGTCTCATTTTTTATGATTGAAAGGTGGAGCTGAATGATTGATTGTTGATGCTGCTGTTGAACTAGTATCCCATGGGCATAATGTTCACATTTTCACAGCTCATCATGAAAAAAATCATTGTTTTGAGGAAACTTGTGCTGGTGAGTTATTATTTTCTTTGTATTATTGCATTCTTTCTAGAAGCTAATTTATGGAGATAGGAGTTACTTTTTTCCAATAAGTCCAATATGAAGTTGATTGAGTTAAGTTACCTTTTGTGCTCATAAATTGAAGTAGAAATGATGGACACTAATCTCATTTTATCACAAGTTTTTTTGTTAACACTATGTCACTGTTGCTTTAGTTGCTGAAATTCAAGTTGGATGACATGAATTGTTTTGAAGTTTTTTAGCTGCTGAACAAAATCTCAACAACATTCATTATTTATATGACACACCAAATCTTAGATTGTAGCTCTTGTTATATGTATCTAGCTTCTGCATCACCATTGGTAGATGCGAATAGTTCTCTTTTCTTCAAGAACAGATGGGAAAAGGAGATGAATAGCTCCCTTTCCTTCCTTTCATCTTCCTCTTTTAATAGATTGGAGAAATGTCAGGACTCAGGAGAATGCATATCCTTTCAGGTGGGGAGACTATCTGCAACCATACTTTTGCTTGGCCTTGCATGTAGCTTTATCTTGTAGCCTAGCTAAAATTAGATTATATCTTATATGCTCACAGATACATTTCCAATTACAATTTATGGTGATTTCCTGCCATGACATATTTTTTACCATCTTTATGCTGTATGTGCATATCTACACTGCATATTTGTTGCTCTTTGTGTGCTATTGATGTGGCCATCATTTGATGTTATACTAGCGAACCAAGTCATTTTTGTCATCCACTTATTGAAACTTAAGAGGTCTATGAAGGTAGATTGATGTAACTTATATAAACTGCTATCTGGAAGTCCTGGCATTGTGGTTCTCTTATGAACTGGGGTTTTTCATGTAGGTTGTATTTTATTGTCACTTTCCAGATATGTTGCTGGCTTAACATACAACTCTTTTGAGTAGGTTACACAGGAAACCCCTTAATTTCTTAGAAGAACTAACAACAAATTTCATTCATCCACGTTAGTTTTTTTTCTTAAGTAATTTAATTTCATAAATTTGGTTTTGATTTGCTATGGTAAACATAATAATTTGTATTCTCGAACTACCAGAATGGCAGATATGATACTTGTTAATAACAGATGTACTGCATCAACCTTTGCAAATACATTTAGGCATCTTCATGCAAAAGGAATTCGACCATCTATTCTATACCCAACAGTTAACGTGGATCAGTTTGGCAAACTCAATTCTTATAAGTAACCAACATCCTTATACATCTCTTGGTCTCTTTTAGTTCCGGTCATTTATTTTAACATCCCATCTACAATTTCTTAGTCCATTGTTTTTCGAGTGTCAATAAGCCAATGGCTTGAGTTAATCAACTTGTTTTGGCTAGGTTGAATTTTCTCACCATTACCCACTTTGAAAGGAAAAAGAATATAAATTTAGCAGTTTCAGCTTATGCAAAGCTTCAAAAGCTCAAAGGAAGTGTTCTTAAAAATTGTAATGTGGCTGATGCTACCTTGACAATTGCAGATAAGTCCTTATTTGTTTTGTCCATAGACATGGTTGTTGAACAATTGTCTAATGCTTACAGCATTACAAAGATTCTTTTATTTGGAGGCATAACATGTTCATTGGGCTTTTTTGATAGCAAAACAAGGGGTACTTTAACTAGGAAGAGGAAATGTAGTTTGTAATGTGGCTACTATTCATTTTTTAATTAAACCTCTTTTTATCACCTAGTGCAATGCCTCCTCAAATACGATGTATGATCAAAGATTGGGGTTCAATAACGTAAAGTGTAACTATCAAAATGCGTTATATTCTAAATCTAGCTATGATGCTTTCTTGGTTTGTGCATTTACTTCCATTAACTAGACGCAATGATATGGGGATTGTTAGGGCTTTTATTGGTGGTTGTAGCTTTCATATGAAGATCAACTAGTGCACTTATTACTGTTATTATGTGATGAAAATGTGAAAGCATGATTATCATTATTGTTACCATGTGAAAAACTGAAGGTTTCAGTTCTTTCTCAATTGTGAAACAATTTGTGCCTTTTCTTTTTTCAAGTGGATATGATAAACGCCTTAGAGAGAACGTTGAGTATTTGGAAGAGCTCAAAAGCTTAGCAGAGAGAGGAGTGGCCAATTGGATTAATATGGTCACGTCTTGCTCAACAGCATAAAGGAATTCTCTTCTCTCTCAATGCCTTTGTGTCTTTTATACTACAAAGGTGTGTTAGAATCTATTTTTCTCAAAGAGTTTGATTAGATTTGGTAAAGAGTAGGTTTTGAAACAAAGTTTTGAAATCACTGTAGGATGAGCACTTTGGCATTGTCTCATTAGAGGCCATGGTAGCTCATAAACCTGTTATTGCATGCAATAGCAACAGTCCTATAGAAACTGTCAAGAATGGGGTCACAGGATTTCTTTGTGACCCTACTGCAGATGACTTTGCTTTGGCTATGGCTAAATTTGTTCAAGATCTTTAGATGGCTAAGAGAATGGATGAAGATGCTAGGCAGCATGTTATGAATTCATTTTCTACCAAGACTTTTGGACAGTGTTTGAATCAAATTCCTCTTGATGTTGTTAAGAATAAAGAGGACTAAAAACAGTGAATGAAAGCTAAAGGCAGGCTTTTAGGAGAAAATTTTGGAGATTTGAGATATTAGCATAATTATTTTACCAGTTGCTATCAGAAATACTTTTCTTTCTTGAGTTCTAGAGGACATTGTATCTAGGAGATATACATGATACATTTATCACTTAGGTCAACTAAGATTCAATGCCTTTGTAAGATAAGTTACTGCCAGGAAAATTATACTCTCATTGTTGAAGTTTAAGGTTTTGCTGATTTATTTTACAATACGTACTCTTTTAACAACAATGATTCATTGAGAATCATTCATTAGACAATAGTCACATTATATCAAATCAAATACATGTATACTAATTCATGCATCCTGCTGAGTTTTTGCTGTCAAACTCCCCACCGTTTTTGTTTTTTCTCAGTGTTGTCTGAGTTTCTTCCATACTCACAACTGGTCTATCCTGCAGATGCTGCCAAGCATTCTCAAATCGTCTTCCCCTTTCATTTCCTACAACATTTTCTTTGTCTATCCACTCTAATTCTTCAACATTTGTTCTCTACTCCTATTTTGCTATCCTTGGCATTACTTAGAGAGAAATTTCTGAAGGTTCACTTCAAAAAAATTCCAAGGGAAAATGGATGATGGGGAGTGAATAGAAGCTCTAACCAAAGCAGTAGAGAACATCAAAGTTTCTAGAGATAAATACCAATCAATCTTGAGCGAAGAAGTAGGTAACACAGAGTGAAGACATGGCAGTCCTCCCATCTTTGACAAGGTGAACAAACTCTTTGAGGAAGGGAGAACAAAGGTGGCTATCTTTTTCTTTGAAACTTCTTTAACCTTTGTTGTTGCTTATTCTATGCTTATTCTATAACTTTGGTTTGAAGGAATGGCCTCAAGGATCTATAGAAGAAGCAGTACAAAATGCTGTGAAGTCATGGGAGTTGGAGCTATCTCACAAGACTCGCTTACAAGACTTCAAAACTATGAATCCTGAAAATTTCAAGCTCATCGTCAATGGTACAGTATAAATAAATTTTGGGGAAAGTTATTTCTACTACTCGATTTGTTGTTTTTAAGAAAAACCCTAAATCGCATTGATAATAAGATTTGCAAATAGATGCAACAAATCTTGTTGTGTAAATTGAGTTAACCCTAAATTTTGAGTTCTATTAATTCTTTATCTCCTTTTTTGATTGCTTAAGAACAAAAAACTGAAGTACAGTCAATCTTACAACATTCTCTACTTAAGAATTAAGGCTTTGGTTTTCATCTTTTATTGAATTACTAGGACAAGGAACACTATCAAGAGAAGGGACACTTAGGATTGGCAGCTATAATGCCTTGTTGAGAAGCTCTCTTCCTGAAAACCTTAGATATCATAAATCAGAGGAAGAAACCTATGAACCATCCCACAATGCCTTTCGTACTGCTTTTCCTCAAGGATTTGCATGGGAAGTGATTAAGGCTTACTCTAGACCGCCTGTGATTTGCTATAAGTTCAGGCATTGGGGATACTTTGAGGGACCTTTCAAAGGACATGCCCTCACAAGGGAAGTGGTTGAGTTCTATGGGATTGGTGTCATGAAGGTCTGTCCAAAGGAAAGAACTCAAAGTTCATATTAATTCATGTAAAAAATGTGGATTTATGATTTTGTTTTTGTTACAAGTTGATGAATCTATGAGGGCAGAAGAGGTGGAGATATACCATGACCCAACAGGGCTACTTGCAGGCCTTCTAAAGGGACCAAACATATCAGGTTCCGATATTGAACAAAAGAACTTCAGCCATGATTCATTTTCTTCTCATCATTGTCCGTTCTTCCAGTAGATGAAAAGTTGCTTTGATATAAAGAGACCGTTAGCTAATCACCTGCATGAGTTGGAATCTTGACATGACGTGTATCTTCTATCTCTCATGATTTTATATTTTTTCTCTCAACTTTTGAGTTAATGTTTGATTAATATTTTATTTGAAAGGTCACAAAAAGATAACATTCCTATCAAAATTTCTAGCAAAATTTTAATCAAATAGAAAGATAAATAAAACTTAATCCTAAGTGCCCAAGTTGATCTAAAATACTCCGTTGATCAAATTGAATTGGCATTTTGATCAAATATACAAATGGCCTTTGACCAAATTGATCTTCCCATTTAATAATCCAATGACTTTTGTGACATTTGACAACTCTTTCACTAAATCATATAATTGTAAAGTCATTTAATAATTTAACAACTTTTGTGTCATTTGATAACTTTACCATTAAATCATATAATTGTTAAAGGTTGAGACATATAATCGTGAAAGATTGAGACAATTTTCTACCACTAGATCATATAATTGTGAAAGATCGAGACATATAATTGTGAAAGATCGAGACAATTTTCTACCACTAGATCATATAATTGTAAAAGATCTAACAACTTTTGTGCCATTTAATAACTTTACTACTAGATCACATAATTATAAAAGATCTTGTGTCATTTAATTACTCTACCACTAGATCATAAGATCATATAATTGTAAAATATTTTGTGCCATTTAATAACTCTACCACTATGTGGCATTTAATAATAGATTTTGTACCATTTAATAACTCTACCACTAAATCACATTTAATAACTCTACCACTAGATCACATAATTGTAAAAGATCTTGTGCCATTTAATTACTCTACCACTAGATCATAAGATCATATAATTGTAAAAGATTTTGTGCCATTTAATAACAGATCTTATGCCATTTAATAACAGATTCTGTGCCATTTAATAACTCTACAACTAGATTCTTCTTCTTCCACTATGTGCGTTTAATAACAGATCTTGTGTCATTTAATAAATCTATCATTAGATCAGAAGATCATATAATTGTAAAAGATTTTGTGTTATTTAATAACAGATTTTGTGTCATTTAATAACTCTACCACCATGTGCCATTTAATAATAGATCACTTCTTCTTCTTGTGTCATTTGATGACTCTACCACTAGATCATATAATTGTAAAATCATATAATTGTAAAAACTCTACCACTAGATCATATAATTGTAAAAGATCATCATCATTTTCTTCTTCTTCTTCTTTCATTTGACAACTCTACAACTAGATCACATAATTATAAAAGAAAAGATCTTCTTCTTTCTTTCTTTTTTTTTTTTAATTAAAAGTTTTAAACACTCTTGTGACTTGTCTTGTGGTTGGAAGGATAATTATAAATTTATGTTCTTCTATTTGATGACTCTATCACTAAATCATATAATTATAAAAGAAAAGATCTTTTTCTTTAAAAAAAAAAAATAAAAGTTCTGAACACTCTTGTGACTTGTCTTGTGGTTGGAAGGATAATTATAAATTTCTGAAATTGAAAAGTCTCTTGAATTGTGATTGAGACATTTTCAAAGACTTCAATAGTATTCGTTATCCATAACGTATTTCTGCAACAAGTTGTTCAATAATTTGGCACCCATTCAGACAAGAAAACGTATTCATATATGTTATGAACAGGACATTTCAACATTTTCATTTTCTATGAATGACGTTTATTAAACAATTAACATACAATGAGAGAGAGCTAAA